ACTAAGGATCAACAAGTATATTTAGCTGATGGAACAAGACTGCATTTGCTCTGTTTTGTTATTTATTTTTATAGTTACTGTCACAAATCTACAACACAGGAAACACAGTAGAAATGTTTAAAGAGACCCTTGAGATATATTACTAAGGATCAACAAGTATATTTAGCTGATGGAACAGGACTGCATTAGCTCTGTTTTGTTATTTACTTTTACAATTACTGTCACAAATCTACAACACAGGAAACACAGTAGAAATGTTAAAGAGACCCTTGAGATATATTACTAAGAATCAACAAGCATATTTAGCTGATGGAACAGGACTGCATTAGCTCCGTTTTGTTATTTACTTTTACAATTACTGTCACAAATCTACAACACAGGAAACACAGTAGAAATGTTTAAAGAGACCCTTGAAATATATTACTAATGATCAACAAGTATATTTAGCTGATGGAACAGGACTGCATTAGCTCTGTTTTGTTATTTACTTTTACAGTTACTGTCACAAATCTACAACACGGGAAACACAGTAGAAATGGAATATATCTCAAGGGTCTCTTTAAAACTAAGAATCAACAAGCATATTTAGCTGATGGAACAGGACTGCATTAGCTCCGTTTTGTTATTTACTTTTACAATTACTGTCACAAATCTACAACACTTTTTTTAAGTTTCCAAAATGAAATCTTAAGTGATTTTCATCAATGTGATATATTAGACATATGTAAATTAGTTGTACTCAACCTAGAATTTCATGAGTGGGCACAACACTAGTGCACTGATATTTACATTGTAAGTAGGGGTTCAAGGGTTCTCCGAGGTTATATTATTACAATAATTTTGTGTAATTTATTACTCACCAGTAACATAATTCGCACTAAAAATGCTCCTCCCCTTTACTTAGTTTCTCTTATAATTACAATAATGTGCCTTAAATAATAAAAAGAATAATATCATGCATCTGGCCATGAGCAGTATGGCTAGCACCTCTGATGTTTGACATGAAAAAGAGGCTTCTCAATGCGATAGACAAATTTTTAGTCCCATTTTCGATCTAGTAAAAATCCATGCTAGTGAAATGAGTGGTCATGTTTATTACTCTAAACATGCATTTTAGAAAGACCAATTTCATGAAATATAGGCCAACTGCATTGACATGTCAAAATAGTAGATATTTCATAGATTGGCAATTTTCAAAAGGAGACACGAATGAAATCCTAGAATTAATGTGCTACCACACTCTCACCACAACATTGATGACAGTGTAAATATTAATATAATTAGTTTTGGTACATGCTAATGAAGTAAATCATTGCACACTTTTAATATTTTATATATTTTTCTATAGTTTCTAATACTGAAAAAACAAATTCATAGTAGGAAAGTATATTGTATGTACATACAGCAGATTCTTAGGCTTATGGTATGCTACATGTAAAGCTACATTTTAAGCTCAATTATAGGTAATTGTGCTAGCACAAAACCAAATTCACTTTCAGCTTGTTGTACAAAATGTTTAAAAGTGTAATCTGTATGTCTTCATAAAGGTTTTATTCACAAATGTGAAGTTGCACTCCATTTTGTATTGAAAAGTACATCATAATTTTCAAGAAATTTTGCACGACAAAATATAACTGAACAATTTTTTCCACTCTGACCAATTCCAATATTTAACCAGCAATTCATATAAATTTTTTGCCAGATAATACAAGTTATTTTAAAGTCTGCACATTAGTAGAAAGAATATTAAACCAATTATTGTCATTATTACATGCACACAAAACTTAGATATACACAAATAAATGCAGTTATAATTCTTACATCAAGCACAGTGAGAGCCTGAAGGTTTGAAATCTTTGATGGAATTGTGGATAGTTTGTTAGAAGCTAAGATTAACTTGGTCAATTCTACTTGATCCCACCATTTCTCTCCATCAGTATCATCCAAAGATACTGAAAGCATTTTACTTTTCTCCGGTGTGATGTTATTGATGTCCCACACAACATCGGGAACTATATAAGAAACAAAAGAGCAAGTTTATTTCATCGTTATGAAGCAGTCTTTTTTTGTTAAAAAAAACAAATTTGTGACAGCTTTGGATCAGTAATCTACAAAAGTGCATCAAAACCAAAATAAATGTTGCCCATCATATCCAGGTACTCTCACGTAAAAAAAGTTTTAAAAATTTAAAGTAGCAATACATATATCCTTTTGAAGAAAACCTTTACAAATATTTATAACAATACCTGAAATCAGTATTAAATAGTTAACATGATCTATGGTTGCACTAATACACTAAAAATATAATTTTGTTATGGATCTGTCTGCAACTCTTGTATTAACTTATAATTGTAAAAATTTCGAACGAAGTCAGTCATCAACCAAAGTTTACACCTAAGCTAAATAAGCAGCTGAATATTCATTGTAATATTGTCTGTAAACATATATGTGTTAAAAAGTGGGGTTTATAGGTTTGAAGACGATATTTACATTATTCTTTCATCTTGACTATTGTTATTTTCAAATCAAACAAGCACCTGTATGAAAAATTACAGATGTCTATTTACAAATTATGAAAAAAATTACAATTACAAATGAAATAAAATGGATTTTTGTAATTCACGGCACAGAGGTACAAGTATATTGGGTTTGGACTAGGTACAAATGTTAATAAACAACACAACACAAATCTCAATGTACTTAACTTCAAAAAATAAAGGAGTTAGGAAAAAAAAAACAAGAAGAGAACTAATTCTGAAAACAACACAATGTTCCAAAACCAAACCATTTCTCAAGATCAATAATAATATCAAGCAGTAATTCTAACTAACTATATCTTGTGAACTAACTGTCTTCTGTAAGTGATAAAATTGTACTTGTTTCAAAGTTTTATTTTGGATTTCTGTTATATTTTAATAAATTGTTTTTGTTTGACCCTGACTGTTGTAGAATATTGTTTTAGTCTGTTACAGTTTTACTCCAGATATATACTTCAATTTGTAGAAAGTGTTAGTTACAAAATTATCCCTCCCTCTTTTTTCTTTATGATGTGACATTCTAATACTTTTGAAAATCATTTGTGGTGAGTTTGGAAACTAAAAACATTTATGGACTGTGATCACAACTTTTGCATTCATGGGTAAGAAAATTATAATATATTTAAGAACAAGTTGAAAAGCTTTTTTGTAAGTATTATGAACTTCCAGAATAGTGTGTCTAATAAGGTGCTTGATTTTACTTATATGTGTATATAAAATGAGTTTAAACTTTTATTGGACAGGTACATATATAAGTACAAAATGGGGTAAATTTAGTTTGAGCTGTTAAGTCTTTTTTAAAGGGTTAATCTTGCTCATTCTTACATTTTTATGCCATTGGTTAAACAAACCTGAACATATGACCAAAAAATAATAATAATAGAAATTCTTGTATTAAAGGCCAAACTTTAAATGATTATGTATTTCTTCTGTACTCTCTCAAGAAATATTTTACATAATAATATGTTATGCAAAACTTCTGTTAAACATGATACAAATAAATATACCTGTACAATATGTGTATTCAGGCAACTCAATGTTCCTTGGAACACAGAAACTTGTGATTATGTGACCCTGAGATGATACTTATTAACTGGTACAGAACTCTTAACTTGTGAGGCTGAGTAAGACCCTTTACTCTCATTTGGCATTTAAATTGTAACACCAGCTCAATAGCAAGTATGCAGTTGTTCAAACACAATTTCTAGTGATAAGTAATACCATTACTTTCAATATTTACATATAAACTAAATGTAAGGCTTATAACTGTATAGTCATTTTCTTTTTTCATAATGATTTCTGCAACGTACTGCAACAAAGCAAGACATTTCTTTAATTTTTTGTCAAACTTTACAGACCTAGTAGTGCTACTAAATATAAACAAGTATGCAAGAGTGGAGTAAAGCTGGCACTTTAAATAAAGTTAGGTGATTTAATAACTTTCAAAGTTCACATCATGATGAAATTATGTGTTAACAACTGTTCCCACAGATCATTTAGAAAATTGGCATTTAATCAACATGTAGCAAGAGTTTAGAAAATGGTTTTCTTGCTTAATAATTTCATTGCTTTTTATATAAAATACCTACTTTTCAGGTCCATATGCTGAAAACACTAGAATTTCATCATGTTTTTTAATGCCATTTATTAGAACTGTTTAATCCATATTTTTTACTACCTTGTACAAACACAAATAGCTCGACCATAGTATCTATTTTCCAAAATCCACAGCAATACAAATGTTTAAATGCACTCAAAGTCATTACTACACACAAATTCTACTGAAATGAAATGTTAAGGTAGTTCATTGTATTTTCTTCTCTACATCTACACAGTATCCTTACTGTATCACTATCAGTTTAATGAGATAAAATCAAAATAATGTTAGAAGCACATGCCAGATTTCATGAAGAAATAACTCCTTGCTTCTGACTGTTGCTACTAGATCTATTTATTTTATATAATGATTGATCCATTGATTGTGTGAATAGGCTCATTTACACATACTCAACTATGTAGTGCTGTCCCTAGAAATTACAAAACTCATTTATTTATATCAAACTAAGAAATAAAGCACCTTCCACCATGCCCCTGTTAGACAAATTCAGTTGCCCACTTTGTCGAGCTTGCTTAATTATCTGTGGATGAAGAGTAGGTTCTTTTTGTTGGAGATGAAAACACGCTCCAACATTTCCTCGAAGTCTAAATCCTTTTCCCCGACCCCGGCTCACATTTACACTTACAGCAACGGCCCGATTTGTAACTCGCGGAATCCTTGAGTTTGCAGATTTTTGGCTCATAATTAAAAGACTAATTACGATCAATTTTGTAAAACGAAAAAATTCTGCTTATCCCTAGATCTTTTTACTTCACGATATTCACTTCAAACTGCTGACTACTAAGTAGACATCCCATAATACATGTTGCCTAGCCATAAAAATAAAAAATTGTAACCTTAGCGCCATCTAGTGAATATGTCTAAACAACGTTACAGCATTGTTGATAAACACGTAAGACCAGTGGTTTGGTAGGATTAACGTAGATATTGATAAACACGCAGTTAATTATAGAATTAAGTTATGGCATCTGACATTAGGAAACGTTGGTTGTAGCTGAAGTTTAATTGTGAAAATGGCACATAACATGCGTGAAGTTGTTAAGACGAAAGGTGTAATTTTAATTACCGTATTCAGTGTTGCAACCTGCACAAAAATTTATGTCTATTGTCGAAATTTCGTCTCAACGACACTAGTACTAGTAGTAGCCTAGTGTAATGAAAATGTTGCGATTATGAACGAACATTCGACACTTACGTTTATGAGAAAAGAAAATTCACTTTTTTTTTTCTTTTTGCAGCTTAACATAATGTGAAACACACATTAAAACTATTTCAACTGTATACCTCAGTCTTATGAAACCAGTTTTAAATGTTTTATTAATATTTTTAAATAACATAATTTGATTGTATAGGTCATTGGTTAGGCCATATTTGGAGTATTGTCTTAGGTGTAGTCTTACCTTAGAATGGCTATTGAACTATTAGGAAGGGTGCAGAGGAGGTTTACTAAAATGATATGTGGGATATAAACGTTGTCATATCAGGACAGATTGAGTTCTGTGTAGTTATTTTCTCTTTTAAAAAAGATGAGTTGGGATGTTATTGAAGTTTTTAAGATTTGGTGAGTTAATTGATAGTGTCAATACATAATGTTTTCCCCTTTGTACTTAAAACTAAAAGTGAGAATGAATGGGGTAGGGGACATAAATGATATATTTTAGCAGGGAAGGAGTCATCTTCAACTAAGATAGCTCTTTTTTTTTTCTAACACAAGGTGCTTGCTTTCATATATGATCAGTGCAGTTAATCATTAATGTAAGGGAGTTTAAGAGAAAGCTTGATAAATATTTGAATGATAAGGGCTGGCTTTTTAATTTGATTATTTTATTTTTAAAGTTTAGTTTAGTGGATGGGATGACCTAGGCAGACCAACAGATTCTTTGTTCTTAAATTATATGCATATAAAAAAATATGTAATTTAAATTTCATTCTGTTCATCAGATAGTGGGTATTAAGAAGAATTATATATTAAAACTTGTTCCATATAGTGAAGTCTACAGTTATAGAGATTGACAAATAAGTTTTCTGTCAACTTACGTTATGAAAAGCCCCCTCAAATGTGAAGCACTTGCTTATAATTTTAAGATTTTCATTGCTTTGGTCTTTCTGCCCAGTCACTACCAGTGTTAATGTTACTTGATTGATGTTAAGGGTAAGAAACACTGTGCATGAATTTTATACTAATAAGATGTATTTTTATTAACATGCTAAAATGTTATCTTTAACTGTAATACTAACAGTACTAATGTAACACTAACAGCAATAGCCAACTATGATGTAATTTCAAATATAGTATTGCATAACCTGAAATGTATCAAAGTCAGTCACTGGATAGCAAGACTTTCAACATAAAAGTTATGGTCACATCACAATAACCTATTTTTATGTGTGTGCTATTAGTTGCAGTAGCTATAATTTGCATAAGTATTGTACATTTGTAGTGTAAATTTATTATGTAGACCCCAAAGAATGTTTTTATTTTTAGATTAAGAACTTATGTTACTAAACTTGCATGATATTGGCCATTGTTAAAAGTGTATGCTTACAGGTTGTCCAAAGATATCCTATATGTGTGGATGACACCAACTTTCCTGATTTTTCTCCTTTATGTTAAGATCTTTGACTCTTATTTTGTGCTTTTATGTTCACATCATCATTATTTGGGATGATGCAGTACCTTTATATTTGAGGAAGGCATCTATTCTCCTCTTAAACTCCTGCAAGGTTGTGGCAAAACCTCATTCCACAAGTTAATCACCCTGTTAGAGAAATAAGACTGAAGTCTAATATATCTTTTCCAAATCTTAGCTTGTGTCTTGGTCTTTTACATTTGTAATACAGCAGAGAAATCAGAGGCCTTAATGCTATTGATCTCCCATATAATTTTGTGAACTTAAGAGTTCCATCTCTTATAGTTATCCTTCTTTTTTCAAAAGAAAATATGTTAAGAGATTTTAATTTATCCCCATAATATAACCCTACTGTCCATGGAAGTCTTGTAATAGCCCACCATATTAATCCTTTCTAATAAAGTACTGTTTCTTAGAGAAGATCCAAACTATATAATATACAAAGTGATGCCTAACTAGTGATTTATATAAAGTGGTTTTTAACAGATTAAAAATAAGGCATCAGGAACAAATAAGGTTGTCCTGAGTGTTTTAAATATAATAAATCTAATTCTCTTTCATTTTTGTAAGTGAATAGACAGTGGGTAGGTACATGAGGATTAGAGTTGCTAATGTTCCTCTTGTTTTTAAAGGGGATGATAAGAGATGATCGGAAATCATAGAATGATTAGTCTTTCATTTTTAGGTCAAAAATTCTATAGAGTCTGATAAAAGAAAGTTACTAAAATTACTGAAGTATGATAACATACTGTATAACGAACCATTCGGTCTTTAAAAGCTGCCCCCACACTAACACCCCTGAAAAGAATTAATAACTTAAATCCACCCTTTATTTTTCAAAAAATTATCAAACCCATTTTAAGTTATTGTAAAGTGCTGGCCTCAGCTACTGATGGCAACTTATTCTATAAGTCATTCATCTTGTTAGAAAATAAAACTTTCTTACTTCCCAAATCTTAAACTTGTGTCCTTTGTGTGGCACCTTATAAGTTTTTTGAAAATATAATTATGCCATGTTTACACCCAATCCATTATCTGGGTAAAAGAATCTTAACATGAATTCACAAAAAGAAAAAATTCTATCAACTTCTAGAATTGTAGTTTGGCTGTGGTTTCGCTAGATAGTAGATAGGGACAGTGGGAGTCTCGTTAATCCATTCATGCGCGTCACTAAATAGATGACGAGGCATTTGGCTACCTTAAGAGAGTCAAGAGTTAGCAACAGATCACTGCCTCAGTGGTTTGAGTGACTTATCCACCACTGTGTCAAGATATTGAGTGAGTTCTCAAGTGTATTATACTGCACATAGCACAATTAAAGGTCATTTTACAGATATGTATCCAACTAACCTAGTAATCAATTGTTCTGTAGTATCTCATCATCCTCAATACAGCTAAAAATACTTAAAAGCTTAATGTCACCCACAAACTTTTAATTTGGTAATTTTATCTCTTGATATTATTAATGTAAATCAGAAAAAGTGAGGATCAAGCAGTGACCTTTGAGACACTTCACCAGTAACAAGTATGAACTTCATTAATAACTTTTTGTTTTCTCTCTCTGCCAACCATCCTACAGTCCAATTTACTATTCCTTCCCCAACCCTCACTGATGTGAATTTCTAAGCTAATCTTTTGTGTGGCACCTTACTTTTTCAAAATATAATTATTCCATGTTTACACCCTATCCATTATCTGAGTAAAAGAATCTCAACATGAATTCACAAAAAGAAAATCTTGTCTTGCTAATCTATTAGCTTTTGTTGTTTTTTTTTTTTATTGTTGAGTAATTAATTGAAAAATAATTTTGTCAATAAGTAAAGGTACATAGAAGCTCCAAAAGCTTTAATATATTATTTATGATATTCAACTTTGTTTTCTTAGCTTTCCCTCAGAGCACTTGAAGGTTAAAATATTTCTACTCTCCAAAGGAAACAACCTCAGAACTTTGAGCCTTTTCTCAGTGCTTAATTTTATTAAACTATACACCTTTCTAGTAATCTGTCTCTCTTCTTTTTTCAATATTTTGATAACCTCCTTGTAGTATAGGTAGCTTATACTGAACATAGTACTACACAAGGAGCCGGACATTTGTAGTTTAAAAAAAACATGTAAAAATGTATTAAGTTTTGAAAACTGCATAATTTTGGTACTTTTTTTATTCCTTGTACCATGTGTTATAACTTAGAATTTCTGGATCTGAACCTTTCAAAATTCACTATTGAATCTCCATCTAAAACAACAATTAGTAAGTATGCAAATATAGCAGACTTGTATGACAGCGACATGCTCTCATAGGGATATATGGGTCAGTACTTCACTAGATGCACTGCTGGAATTGCAACTAGATGAACATTCTCGATTACTTGATGTCTTAGCAGGAACAGGATTTCTTGAAAATGAGATAAAGGAGTTTGGTTATGGGAATATAGACAGTTTGGATGGTTGTGCTGAAATGTTAGAAAAGGCTAAAGAGAAAGGAATTTATAAACACAATTTTGTTTCATTGTTAGGAGAAGGCCATACTTTATTTATTCAAGATGATACATATGATATTGTCATCATGAGTGGTAAAGGCCAAATATACTCTTCCAGTAGTTTTTCCTCTATTGACTAGGGTCAGCAAGCCAAGTGGTTTCATAGTATTTCCTGTTAGAACAGACTTGACAGATAATGATAGTCTTACATGTTAGACCTCACCACAGTTTCATACAAAGTTACAATAACCTTCTTGTTCTTAAAGGAAAATAATTTTTAAAACTTGTGGAACTCAAAACTCTTTTGTTCTTTTCTTAACTATTATTCCAACTTGAAGTCTTTAGGGTTCTATCAACAATGCCAGTGCTTCTTTTACACAAGAAAGAATCCCTTCCTACAATCATGCTACCACACCCCTGGTGTACAACTTTATGCTTTTTTTATATCTTAAAACTTTTAACAAAAATGTTTTACATACTATATAAAGTTGGGGGGAATGTGTAATAACTCAAAATAATCTCTATCATTTTCCTTAATCTTTACTTTTGGAAATTTATAATTTTAGATTTAATATGGTTTGAAAGGTTCATACAAGTAATAAAAAGATTTTTGAAAAAATAAGGATGATGTAGAGATGGCAATGCTTAAAAGTACACAAACAAGGTAGGGATGAATACACAAAGATCCATACATAAGTAGCCATTTGAAAAAAAAATGTGTTTATCTACAACGAAAGCAAATTTTGAAGAAATGCGACTAGAATTATCTGTTGTGATTTGTGCACCTGAATTATTTGTAGACACTGATCAGATGTGGAAATTTTTTAAGAATAGGGTAGCTGTAAGTAAAAATCCAGGTTGGCTTACAAAAAATTTAAGAGATAAAAGTAAAGAAAACCATCATTAATTTAAGAAATTTAAATTGACTGGTATAACAGGAGTTGGTGAAACAGGAAATTAGAACATGAAAAAGGATGTATGAGAAAAGGTTGGCTGAAAATGGATCCATAAGGATTTCTTTAAATACATTAAGGGTAAACAAAATGTTAGAATGGGGGTAGGACCCTTGAAGGATGATAAAGGAAAACACATATCTGCTGATTATGAAGTGGCTTGATTATTAACTTTTTCTTTTTCTTAAATTTTTACTAATGAAGATTTAAGCAGTATTCCACATCTTGAACAGATGATAGATGGAAACAAGATCAAACAAGAGGACTGCATTAATTCTGAGCTGATTAAGAAAAAATTGGGAAACTTAAAGAATGATAAGGCTCCTGGGCCAGATAATATTTACCCAAGGGTTTTGAAGGAGGTTCAAGATTGGATATGTGAGCCACTTGCTACTATTTTTTGTAAGTCCTTGAATAGTGAGCAGGTACTAAACGATTGTAAATTACCTAATGTAACTCCTCTTTTCAAGGGAGGTGATAAAAATTGTACCAGTAATTATAGACCCATTAGTCTTACATCAGTTGTGGGAGAAGTTTTGAAAAGTCTGATAAAAGATGCTTTGTAAATCATTTAACAAAGTTTAGAATTTTATTAAATAGTCAACATGGTTTCACCAAGGGAAAATCTTGCCTTACAAGTCTTTTGACAATATGAAAACATCATGATAACATAGATAAGGGTAAGAGTACAGATTTGGTGTATCTGGATTTTCAGAAGGCCTTTGACAAGATGCAATATAAATAGGGTTGTAAAGAAAATGATCTCTATAGGTGTGGGGGATAAGTTAACAAGTTGGATAGAAGAGTGGCTGGATGGAAGAAAACAAAGTGTTGTTACAAATGGAGTTTAGTCAAACTGGATTAATGTCACAAGTGGGGTTCCTTGGGGCTCAGTCTTAGAACCCTTACTCTTTTTTATTTACATCAGTGATATAGATGAAGGAATGGTCAATAAATTAGTTGAATTTGCAGATGATAATAAGGTATTCGTATTGCTAGCTGTGAAGAGGATGCTGCTGATT